AAGACTGGGCCATAGCGTGGTCGATGTTGCCGTAACTCTATGTAGCTACGGAGAGTCCTGTATTGTGTTGTAAAGTGCTGAGGGTTCCGGTACGTTCCGCGGGGGTATAAATCTCCAGGAACTCACTAAAGGGGGTTTTAGTTGGCCAAACCCCACATAACCCTGTCTTCCCAGTAGGAATCTTTCGAAGATTCCCCCCTTACCAAAAATGAGAGGTACTTTAAGATCAAATATAGTCTCTCGGTGGAGTAAAATAAGACAATAGAAGAGTTATTCGACTTTCTTACTGCTATATCGAATTATAATAAAACTCGGATTTAAGGTAAATTAGAAAACCGGTCACGTTTTCACCGGACATGACAGTAATGTGCTTACGTCCGCCCTCCGCAGCCACAACCTTAGAAACGAACACTACATAATAAAGCGACTACTTAAATCAATGTGAAACTACACAAAGTTCTTATTTTATTTTTTCCATCTTAAAATACTACGTAAGAAAATTGTCTTTAAAATATCTATTCCTTTGATACCAATCATTAGATACTTTATTTTTATTTTTGAAGAAATTTACAGCTTGCTTACAAAATATGTATACCATAACAAAAATTATCGAGCAATATTTTATGCGCGCAAGTGTGCCTGTGTGTGTGTGTGTGTGTGTGCGTGTATAACATACTACTTATTACTCAAAAATTCTTGAAAGTTTTCATATAATGTATGTATTTTAGTACAATGGTATGTCCTCAAAATTAGGTAGGAAATTTGCAACATAATATATTTTCTCGTACAATATAATATTCAATTGACATTATTATTTGATAAGGAACAATATACTTCTTCGAGACGCAGTTAAAATAAGAAATTAAGGCAATTTTCAAGAAATTGTACGAACTTTACAACTTACCTTGTAGTTAGTTAAAGTTCTCGAAGAATTCAGTGCACTAGGTAATGGCTATTACTAAATAGTTAATTCAATTCACAAAACTATAGAACGCATATTTTGCAGTTAGGAAAAAAAGAATAATCTTACTAATATTATAAATGAAAATATTTAGATGGATGGATGGACGGATGGATGTTTGTGAGAAGGTAACTCCAGAACAGCTTCATGGATGTCGCTGGAATTTGGCATAGTTGTAGACTATAGTCTGAAAGAATACAAAGCCTACTTATTAAGTTTTTTTTTTAATTCAGCGCGGACGCAGTCTCAAGCGACAGCTTGTTAATCAGTAATCACCATATCCCTGGACATACGTTCGCACGCCTTACTCACGTGGTGACGTATAACGTTTACTAGACCTTAATATTTTCTTTAAATTTTACGGCCGGGCAGTCGCCTGTCGTTACTTATGAGGAACATTCTAAATAAAAAAGGGTCTTGACATACAAACGGACGGACAACAAAGTGATCCTATATGGGTTCCGTTTTTTCCTTTAGAGGTACGGAGCCCTAAAAGTAGAAACCTGATTATTTAAACCACCACCAATAAATAAAAATGAACATGAGAAATTAAAAATAAAACATAATTAAAAAAATAACAATGGCTATTTGTAATTCGTACATTCAATGAAATATGATAGCTTTTACAATTTTTTTTTATTCACCAAAGAATTGTCTTTTATTTGTAAATAATAACAATATAATATTCAATATAAAAACTTTTTCAATTGTCCTTATCATAGAATAAACATTAGACTGACCTCGTCCAGTAATAGTATGATATTTCAACTAAATAGACTAATATCGAAGCGGAAAATTTTAGAAACATTTTCTTAAAAATGAAATTATCCACGAATATGGAATGTTTGATATTTGAAAACGTGATTGCCCAAGCTGGACTTTCCTGGCAATCTTCCAATAGAGTTGTGAAGTTACTAAAGCAGTTCATTATTGAATTGGAAATTTTAAAAATTTTGTTTACTTCTTTTGATGAAAAATTTGAAATGTTTATTTCACAATTGTAAATTCCAACATATTGGTAAGATAAATGAAATATTGGCAAGAGTATGTTGTGTATATCTACTTAATTGTTGAAAAATCTACCAGCATGTATGTGTAGATTTTTAAATGATACCATTTAATGATACGTTTACGTATGTAAACAATCATCAGCTCACTATACGTCCCCACCGAGGGGCTCAGAGCCTACCCTAAGTTAAGGGTGATTAGGCCATAGTCAACCACGCTGGTCAAGTGCGGGTTGGTTGACTTCACACATATATCTTTGAATTTCCTCTCAGATATGTGCAGGTTGCATCACGATGTTTTCCTCCACCGTAAGAACGTCGGATAAATGTGCATATGTAAATCTAGTTCTAGATATATCTTCAAACACCCATCCATCCATCCACATCACATCCATATAAACATTCGCATTTAAATTTTAGTAATTAAAAAAAATGAATAAATAGTATCCTATGTCCGTTTCCTGGCTCTAAGCTACCTTCTCACCAATTTTCAACCAAATCGGTAAAGCCGTTCTTGAGTTATAAATAGTGTAACTAACACGACTTTCTTTTATATATATATATACATAGATGAAGATTACCAAGAAGTTGAAATTCAATTTTTCTTAAGCAACGACAACGAACAATATCTAAAGACCCTTTTGTTTTAAGAATCTGTGGGTAAACTATCAAAGTACTTAACAAGACGCTGTCAAACGCAACGACATTCAAGATATCGCTTCTCAGCCGGGCTCTCATTAATTACTTCGCATTCTCTCTGGTTACCATGACAGTATTAAAAATAAAGCAATGGGTTTCTTTACCAAAATCACCCTTTTAAAAATATTGTTTTCTCTGTTTTGTCAATGATTATGAAAGGGATGACGATATGTTTTATACATATATTTTAGTCTCAGAAACCAACGGTAATTAATCTAATTTATAAACAAAAATCTAGCAACCTTGAGACATCCACATAATTTTCTATCATTGTTCGAATAAAAGAAAAATTCAATTACTTTTCCTAAGAAAATATTTAAAATTCAAGTCACGATTCGTCGTAATAACTCCTTTTATTTGTAATAAACTCAACAGAAAAGAACGAGGTTAAAAGATTTTTCGCATTATTTATATATTACTAGCCGTTGCCCGGAACTCTGTCCGTATAGAATTAAAAAAAATTAGTAACCTATTCTCAGACCTAATGAATATGCATATAAAATTTCTTAAATATCTGTCAAGCTCTTTCAGAGGAGTATGGTAACATAGTGACACAAGAATTTTATAAATAAGAAGAAGAATTTTAAAACAGGTTGAGATATGTCACTGGCTTTATTTTTGATAATAAACGAAGGCCTAATGATTGACCAAATATCCCAAATTCGTCCTTTAGTAACACTCATCACGATTCTTATGAGGGAGAGACGATTTAACATATTTATGAAGTAAAGGAAACAGTTATGGACGACCAGGAAAATTTTACCTAATACTAGGCTATAATCGTGCGATAAATTTGAACAAAAATTATATATTTAGTAGTACTTTAGTAATAGAACGAATATAAATGTAGATAACTCTATACGTATGAAAATGCGCAGCAAAACTCAATTTAAAGTATTGGTACAAAGATAAATTCTACTCTAGCTGTTATCCAGTTTCGAATGTTTAATCCTATTTCGAGTAACAAACGTTCAAACACAGGATTTGCATCAATTTTACGCTTATCCTATAGCACCAGGTAAATTAATAGATTTAAATATAGTTAAATTTCTACACAGTTTTTTATTGTTTGAGACTTCAGTTGTTAGGTCTAGAAAACTTGTAATTAGAGTTGCAATCTGTATAGCTAAACCAAGTTCAAGGTTATAGGTTTTATCAGCGTTTTTTGCCATCAACAAAATGTAATTATAAATATAGCCTTTATCACCCGAGGATAGAGTAGCTTCCCAAGAGTGAAATATTTTTACAAATAGGTTTAGTACTTTCGGAGTGTATTCAATACAGAGAAAGAAGCGATCAAATATTTCTTTATAATCTAACTAATACTATTAATGTGAATCCTTCCAAACTGATGGATGTTTTTATGAAAATATCTCCATCTGCATGGATCAGGCTGAAATTTGGCATAGATATAAAGTCAGGAAGAACACATAGGCTACTTATTAAGTTCTTTTTTAATTCCTGGCGAACGGTATTTCGGGCGACAGCTAGTATAGATTAAACAACATCACTTCTTGTTATTTAATTATTTACATTTTTCAATTTTTCCAATGAATTTTATACAAATTCGTGGCTTAATAAAAAGTAGCATTTCAGTTAGAAATATCATAGTTATCCTGTTTTTAATGTCATAAAAGCATTATAAAGTTTACAAAACCCACAAAAATGTATCTTAGGTCTAGAAATGAAAATTTATTATCATACAAGTACCCACTATAATGCTTGAATATTATGAGGCCTGTAATGACAGGATCTTATAATAAGTTGTAAGCATTTTAGAAAGGGTCCTTAATTTAATGGACAATAAAGCCAACAATACGGCCTAGTCATTATAGAAACACCTATCATAAAACAAAATTAATTGGGGGACAAAGCAACTACTATTAAGGGAATTTCCCAAACATAAAAACTTTAAATGATGAATATAAAATCATTTTTGATTATTAAATATACAACTACAAAATTAATTATTTTTCCCTCACTTAGATTAGTCCAAATGAAAACAATTCGTCATTTATAGAATCAAATTTATGTGACCAAGTTGGGATAACTTCGAAAATATAACAACTCACTAGCGCCCCCCAGCCAATGTCAAAAAGTATCACGAGTACTTTGCTGTATAGTTGCTGTCTTGTGATGTTTTTTCTTTTTTGTCACATTATATGGCTGCAGGTTTAACATATTTGACACACTAATAGAATTAACCACTCTTACCGAGTCAACTAAACTTGTACTATAACAATTTATTTAATAGTGGCGTTAAGGCTAACCATGAGTTTTCTTTTATTAAGTGTTTCGGATGAGTAATTAAAACTGAATTTACTGTATAAATATATAATTTAATCCAAACAAGGATCCTGTATTTGTATTCGGCCATCGACATCAATGAAGACAGGACTTAGCTTCTCTATATAGCGAATTAATAAGTCATAATCCACTCCGACTACTTCTACGTTTCTTCTGTTTTCCGCAATCATCTAAAAAAAATGTTTTTAAAACTACATAGATGGTATATAATATTATGTATCTAAGTTCTCTTCTTCTATATCTAAGTTATTGGCTGCTTATTCGCGTGAAATTAAAAAAAAAAGGTTTGTAGCCTACGCGTCATTCTAAGCTGTAATCAATTCCTGATTCAAATTTTATCCAGATACGCTGAGCTGTTCTGTAGTTCGCTTTTGGTGTAACGTTAAGGGTTTGTTTTTAATTGCAATTACTTACATGGAATCCATCCCCGCCGTTAGCAATAAAGCTTGGAGCAATCATTCTATAGTACTTATTTAGTTCTAGAGGCTCGTATCTCGGTACTGGACAATCAATACATCGAATAGATACACTTTTTACTCTTTGATTGACTGGATGAGATCCGTTAAAGATTGGACGCATACCTATAAAATATACAAATAATTGTAAACATATTCCTTACAATTTTGTAATTTTTAGGCTCTACTTCAGCTTCATTTACTACCGTTTTTCTAAATATACTGAAGCTATTTTCTTCCATTACAACAGTGAAATAAAAGTAGCAAAAATATAACACTGATATAGTAAAAGATAATTAACTGCAAGTAAATCAATAATAATTAAAAATAAATTGTTGTAAATAGCATTAAAGAACTAAATAACTTGTCCTTACCAGATATTTGTAACATTCTCGCGCCCGGGAAAGGTACGTTAGCGACCGAGTATTCCAACATCTCTAAAATATGGTCTCCGCGTAGTTCGAATACCTCTATGTTGTTTTCAAATGGCGTCGATAATAGAACTGTCTCGAATGTTATCACTGAAAACCAATATGCAACATCTTTCTTTAAGATATTCATTTTATCATAGTTTATTAACAAGATGTTCATTATTATTTCTATAAGCTAAATATAGTCGAACCTGGACAGGCGAGAGTCATTGTCCATTTCCGACAGATTACATTCAAATGCGAGAAAATCAGGTTAGAAATCACTATAAGCGAGAAATATATCACGTTACTTTCTTTAGACATTATTAGTTAGAATCCTTTGGCGCGAATGGCAAGCTTTCATTACCAAGCCAAGTGTCAGAATGATTAGTGAGGGGACATAAACATCGACATTCTAGTAAGGCTAGTGTTGTGCCAGTACACTGACACAGTGTCGGATTTTCTTCCTAACACTTTGGACTCTCATTTATCAATTTTCTACTGTATTTATAAAGCTAAACACTGCTACTAAGTACTAAGCATCAGCATCAGCAATGAAATACAAACCTCCTGGCTCCATATCCACTCGTATATCTCCCCTATTTACGACGCAAAAATGTGCATCGATCCATTTGTCGCCTTTTGCTCTTGGTATCATCTGTTAAATTGTCACCGTATTTTATCTAATTTTTGGCAAAATAATTTTTTTGGGTAAAGAAGCCAAAGAAAAAAATCACAGATGTAGAAGATATAAATATCCCGACAGTCTAATCATGCAAAATATAAATGACAAAACTTACTGCATCCATATATGCGTCGCAAACAAAGCTTCCCAAGTTGCATTCGGAGCAAGCGCATCTCGATGACAAATGAACTAAGGAAGATCCAATTTTCCGCGTAGCCATCTCCCTGATCTCAGGAAGATACTGATTTATTTTCGCCAGTACATCAGGAGCTGCAAGAATATAGTTGAATTTTAAAACAAATATAGCTATTTTTATCCAAAAAAATCTTTCAGTCTCAAACTAGGCATAAACCAGAATTGCAATTGTCAAAATCTTACTAATATTATAAATGCAAATGTTTAGATGGATGGATGTTTGCTTGAAGGTATCTCCGGAACGGCTGAACGGATGTCGCTCAAATTTGGTATAGATGTAGAACATAGTCTGGAAGAATACATAGGCTACTAATTTACTTTGTTTTTAATCCCGCGGGGATAAAGTCGCGGGCGACAGGTAGTTACTTAATCATTTCCAACTATGTTTCAATGCGCCTTTAATAACCACTGAATTATTTTCTATCCAAATCTATTTAGTTACTTCAAGATTATATAAGAATGTTCATAGCAAAAAAAATGTTTTAAATTTTTTTACCTTGTATAACTTCATTTCCGAGGTAAGAAGGTTGACCTTCCCAATTAACGAGATTCCCCTGATCATCAAAGTGTAGTTTTATTTCTCCTAAGTATTGAGCATGTGCTGCTGCTTGAACAATCAATACCTATAAAATAAATTTTAAAAATTACATCTTATCAAAATCGGTTTAGTGGTCTAGGGACAAAATAATTTACATACATACAAACTCTCATAAATAAAAACAAACTCGCATAAGGACGAAAAACATTACCTTCTTTGTCAGTCAAGTTAATTATTAGAATTTATTTTAATTTGAATTTTAATAAATGAGCTTACATCTCGTAATTAATGCCCTTACTTACTGGTTTTAATCCTTGTCGAACTACGACGGGGTACGGTCCTTGGGGTCGAAATGTTGAGTTTTCTGGTGGATCACCGTTGTACAGCAAAGTGTGACTATGTCCTCCTACAACAATGTCTATGTATGGGCCTCCATTTTGAGCTATTTCCCTGTAAATATATAGTACCATAAAAAGGATTTTAACCACACAATAATTATTATTTGCTTTTCTTATTTCTTCTTTGTCTACCTTTTACCTGTCAATATCAATTCCGCAGTGAGACAATACTATGATTACATCAGTTCCATTTTCATGTAATTTCTCTGCTTCCCTTTTAACAGCTTCCACTTCATCCGTAAATTTCAAACGTCCTGTTGATGCTAGCTCCTACAATTAATTGGGCATATAAAAATCAATCGTATTTTTTTTTACAATATGAGCTAATATTCCTTACATACGTTAGTTGACGAAATAATTACTCCAATAATTCCAATTTTTCTTCCATTTCTTTCAACAACAATGCTAGGGTAATATAAACCTTGTATAGTTGGCTCCAAGTCATCGATTATATTTGCTGTTACAACTTTTGAATCCAAATGCTCCAAATAAGGTACAACTCCATCGATTCCATTGTCAAATTCATGATTCCCTAGAACCTAAAGGATTTGAAACATTATTTGTAATAGATGCAATAAAATTTGGCCTAAATATTAAAAACATTTCTGAATTTCACAAGCGCTGACTAAACTATGTCAAGAATAATCCATAAAAAACCAAATCACCACTCTCTGTGGTACAAACCATGTTTATGTCCTCCAAATCGATATCTCATCCACAATTTCACTCATCACTCCCATCTTAATCATGTCAACTTTCACTCAAGCAAACAATTTTTCCAAAAATCCAAATCCAAATATTTTTCCAAAATAATATTATTTACTCACATGAGCATCATGCGGTAGCATATTCATGAAGTCTTGGGTGACATTCCATCTTAGTAAGTTATACCAAATCGTACCCTGGAAGCTGTCACCGCCATTTAGTAGCAGTGAATCAGGTTCACGTCCCAAAGCCTCTCTCACAGCAGTCGCCAAGCGAGCAAAGCCGCCGGTACACGGTGCAACTGACGGATTACATACGCCACCTGCTGGATTTGTTTCAACAAACCTAAAATTACAAATAGATAAAGCATAGACTACATAGTCAATTAATTTTACTAATCTTAGAAACAAAATCATTAGTGGACACGCATTGGTTCGATCGAAATCAGCCAACTAATTTTATGTCACAAAAACTGATATCCTGGGAAGAAGATACCAACATTTTAAAAGTAAATGAAATTACTATATTAAATATGTATCTGAATTGGACTATTTGCATTATTGAATTCATTAGTGATAAAAATGTTCAAACAAATACCTGACCATAGTTCAATATGCGTATATCAGCAATGGTACTTTTAAACATTTTTACTACAATTAAATTAATTAATAATCAGGAAACATTTTATTGACAAATCAAATCATTATTAATTAATTTAATTATAGGTAACTTGTTACTATAATTGCTGTAAAATAGTTACATACCTCGCGTGAAAGTCATTATAGTGTAAAATATTTAACGAAAACTCATTTTCGGCAGACGAGACGGATAAAACAGTAAAAAATATTAATCCGATATTCATTTCCATATTAAAATTAATATGTAAAAAACGCTCTCGACTTTACACTCCAAGATTTATAATAATTTTGATAAGATAAATAAGAGCCAAGCTATATTGAAATCAGCGTATTTATGCACGTTTCAAATTATCTACAAAGATTGTCATTGTTATTTCTAATCTCACTTATCTTGAGGAGCGCGATACCTTAATTACATTGATTTAAGGCCCTTCATACACGAGGTAACCTAAATCTTTGAAAGTGAATTTATACACCGCGTCGCCAACATTTCTGTCAACGATAAAGACAGTGGATCGCAACCTGTTTGTCGTAAAAAAAGTTGCAATTTTCAAGATGGCGGCGCAAATTTATACAGTTGAAATGTATGACAGTTGACATACCTTTACTGACCGAATAGATGATTCGCGTCGACGATTCAACGTTATATATACGGAGACCGCGCAACGCAATTCTCGCGACGCAACCATACAGCATTAGTTTCGACGATTAACTTTACCTTGTGTACGAAGGGCCTAATATCACATTAGAGAATCATATGAAATCAGCACATACCAGCAACTTCGTCAGCGTGATATAAAAAATAGTCTTTGTTACAAACAAACAGTTAAAATTTTCAAAAATTATTTTATTAATGTAAATAACGCAAATATCTTTTGTTTTAAAATTACATACATTCCAATTATACAATATATATACTTATACAATATATATACATATATATATTATATGTAAATAGTTTTTTTGAGGATATCGCTTATTAGGCTTATCCTTTTCGCCATCGTGTGTGGCCAACAGTTTGGTATTAAAGTCTAAATAAGAATTTTGTTACTAAAATCATTCAACTGAAATTCAATGTTTCAAATAATCTTTCATAATATTTTGTACGTAAAATTTCGTCTATACAAATTACTGTAATTTTTTTCCGTCGAAAATGAGACTTTTGATATAAAGCTTTAGACTAACTAAGTACTAGACGTCCTTCCATGTTTATAAAATAAGAAGTTTATTTCACAACGCTGGAGATGAATTTTGAGCCCTAAATAATAACAATAATAAGATATATTTTTCATTGACACTGAATGTCTTAAGTTACGTTTTAATATTAGGGCGTATTTCTGAATTTGCCACTCATGTTGAGAAATTGTTAAACGTATGAGAAATAAAAAATCGCTATGAAAGCCCACATCTTTATAGCTTAGAATTTCATCTGAAGGAATAATTTTTAATGACTTCCTCTTTACTTTCTATATCAATAATATTCAAACAATGAAAAGCAAATCGATTAAATTATAATAGAGAATGCCCGCGATTTCATCAGCACAGAATTAAAAAATAGCCATTAACATATCTGGCATACCTGCATGCTTTAGCTATACCTAAGAAGGTACAGGTGTCCATTCCCGTCAAAATAGGTCCAAACGTACCGGCGATAATTTATAACAAACGCGGCCGTGTCGACAGACAGACAAACAGACACACAGATAAGAATTTTAAAGAACTAAAGTAACTGCCCGTACTCTACGTAAAATACCTAACTCTGTATTTTTTCTAGAAAACAACATTTAAAGGTGTACATCACAAAAGTGAACTTTTCTTGCACCGTAATAAAATCATTTTCCTTGTTCAATCAACTCATGACTTGATTATAATAGCTACGTTATGTTTCCGTACAATTTTTTTCGCCTTTCTGGTAGTAATAGTATTCTGTTGACAACTCAAACACAACTCTGTACGAACATAAAACAAATGTCACTCAACGTTCCCTTCATAAAGTACAGGCTGGCGACAGCTATTGTAATAAAGTGCAGCTGGCCGTACAAAACAATATTGAAGCTGCAATGCTACTGACAAGTTTTTTATTATTTTTTATATCATAAGGTGGCAAACGAGCGAATCGCTGAAATGCGCAATGACCGTTGCCCATAGACATACGCAATTGCATATGCGTTGCCTACCTTTAATCGACGAAGGAGAGGATGCACAGAAAGAAAAAAAATTCCATGTATCCTCTCATCCGGAAAGTGCACTTCCACTTCCCATCCTATCCTTATAAGAAAAAGGGCAGGTAGGGAGTCGCGGGCGACAGCTAGTTTGGAATAAATCGTTTACCGAGTTCATATATATTTAGCGATCTAGTTTCATCTTTTACTGAATAATAATTCTAAATACCACGTTTAAAAGTGTATACGCAATGGATTTATAATTCATATTGAGTAATGCGGTTTCTTAGAGAATGAACTAAGCGAGATAATTATCTAAGATAACCTAAATATATAAATGCTTGATAAAAAAAGGAAAGAGACATCGATACAAGATGAACCCATGATTAAGCATAAAAATTTTAACAACACTATTATCAGTTCTATAAGTAAACAAAAAGAATCATCAAAAGTTTCCAAAGACCTAATCTCTATATAACTAGGTTTAACAAACTAACAATGAAGTCGACAACTTGAGCGTAATGTTTAACTTGCGATAATTAAGACTTGACGGTAGTAAAGATTAATAGTTCTATTACCTTAACAATAACTACTATTTTTCAATAGCATCTCTTACAATTATGATATTTAGAAATCACACTATTTGTCGTATGTCTGTACAAGCCATGATACATTTAAAAACAGCGTCGGTACGGTAGCTACAAAAATTAGGAAGGAGGTCATAGATTAAAAACCGTCAAAGAATAACTTTTACAAATTATAGTTTAAAAATTTGTGTTTATAAAATATTTATAATAAAATAGCAATTTCTCATTATTAAAATTTAACAACAATAAGGAACTTATTGAAAATAAATTAAACTATAGGAACAACTATTTTGATTGAACCTCAAATACTCGTAGAAAATCGATAATTTACAACTAAATGTGAACAAAATTAGTTATAATTAAATATAAATTTGATAAGATATTAAAATAAGAATGTGTAAATATATTGAAATTTTAAAGTATTGACACTCTTTATTATTTCTTATTTAATAAGGTTTTAAGTACTGGTCATTAAATAAATAAAAATAAAATAAGACAAATAAATTTTGTGTAAAAAGTTTGCATAGGTATTTTGAGGTTATGTTGAAATAGTACTGGCCGTTTGTGAAGAGTAATAAATTTGACAGTAAATTAATTTGACATTTCTTAAAAGAAAACAACAGTCGAAGTTGATCGATCAATTGAAATGTATGTTTAAGTAATTTTAGTGTAAACTAGTTGGTGAATTGAGTTTTAGCTTTAAATATCTATAGTATGGATTCTCGATCCTCGTGTTTTTAATTCGGGTGAGTGGGAGACGCAACATTAGTTATGTAACCTTGTTTATTATTCACATCCGAGTGGTCATTACAAAGTTAGCAGCGGGTCTGAATTTCAAGCAGAGGCGCTTGCTGTCTTTTTGTATGAAGGGTAAAGTTATTTATTAAGTTATCTTGTCCCAATTTGAATCTTAAATTAATCTTAGCATAATTTATTGGACATTTTACTTCTTAATTACATCCTTATTCTGTAAACGTTGAAGAATTTGGTAAGATTTTAATGAAAATATTTTAATCAAACTTTGAATATTAAATTTTAATTTAACTAAGATCAAACATAATACGATTAAAGGTAGGCAACGCATATGCAATTTCGTATATCTATGGGCAACGGTCACTTCGCTAATTCAGCGATTTCAGGTGGCTGGTCGCTCGTTTGCCACCTTATATATAATGATAATAATAAAAAAAATACTAGTACAGTAAAAATAGCGTCTGAAACTTTATAAATACAGTTAAATATCTGCTAAACAAGGTTTAAAATTTTTTTTTTTGAGAAGAAAAACTTTTGTCTTTTCACTTGACGGTAGCGAAGTAAGGCTTAATAGTTCTATTACCTTTAAAATTACTATGTTTCCATGGCATCTCTTACAATTACGATAGTTAGGAAATATGTAACGAAAAAAAAACTATTACATTTCAGTTGTGAGAAGATTATCGTTTTTATCGTTGTAAAATGCATTATTTTGTTTTATATTATATTTTAAAACGCGTGTATAAATCAATGTAAATATTAATTATCATCACAATTCCAATCAAACAAGCGGAGCTTCGTCCGTAGACTAATATAATTGAAATTCCCAATTCACGATAGTAATTGAAGATGCCTGGTAGACCTCGCTGAATAATACAAATACTCAAACATAATAGAATAACAGCCAATTTATGTCATGCAAATTAAACACAGGTTTTCAAAGGCCCTCACTGTTAGAATTACGCACTGGAATAATGTAATTCCAGCACTTAATTTACGCACTGGAACAATATCAATCCAGTACGTAAATTTAAATTAATTTTAATGTTACAAAAAAGATTTTGAATGTTTTTAATTATTTTCTTATAAAAGAATTATGGAAACTTTTGTTTTTCACCAATTTTCAGCAACATCGGTAAAGCCGTTCTTGAGTTATAAATAGTGTAACTAACACGACTTTCTTTTATATATATAGATTTCGTGACACAATGTTAGTTACCATACTCCTCCGAAACGACGTGACGGATTTTTATGTAATTTTAAATGTTTATACAGTAGGTCTAATAATCAGGTATATCTGTTAATACTGCGCGGACGAAGTCGCGGGCGACAGAAATTTTGATAAAATTTAAATTTTAATGAAATTAGAAATACACACATGAAGTTTAAATAAGGACTTTTGATATTGGCGTCACAAGACATATCTGCTTCAGTTAGTATGAAAGATTGGAATATATAACTGTAATTAACTTATCATCTAAATTCTGATGTTTATATTGCTTCGAGCAGTCGACGTGCTGTGAAGAGGTGGTGATATTAAATGTCATTTGTTTCTAAGTTGAATAAAATTAAATCAACAGAGAATTTTCATAACTATCTATTGCCCGCGACTTCTTAAGGACACATAAAAATAAGGCTCAAGATACTCAATCAAAATATTTTTTTAACGGGACTTCAGTTAAAGTCCCGTTAAAAAAATATTTTTCGATATACCTACCGGTGTATCGAAAATGTTATGAGTGGTGCAGTCAGAA